AAATATTTTACCCACTAGACATGCTCCTGCAGAAGTATTATGGCAAAACAATCCTCTCTTATGGTTACATCTTACTGTTTCACCAATCAAAGCATTGAATCCCTACTATGAGTCTATAGCTTGTTTCGTACAAAAAAGCAGAATTGAATTTAGATGTTATTTTGGTAAAGAACCTATGGTAATTAGTGTTTTTTTTACAAAGCAGCAAGTTGATTGGCTTTTTCAAAATAGTGATTCTTGGACAATTGCTTTTTCTGTTTTCAGGCCAAATTGATAATCAGTTCCCATCTGATCCATTGTTGCAATTTATTCAAATGCATTCCTTTGTATTTCCTAAAATCACTATGAAAGACCCCGTAGAAGATGCTATGCTAGTTTTTACTGATGGATCTTCTAATGGAAAGGCTGCTTATATTATTAATGGAAAAAGTTATGTAGTACAAACAACTCCAGCTTCTGCACAGATAGTGGAATTACAGGCAGTGAACATGACTTTTCAGGTTCTTGCAGACAGTCATTTAACTTATATATAGGCAGTCAATATATTTATAGAGCTCTTCAAATCATAGAAACTGTTCCCTATATTGGGACTAACAACAATCAAGTTAAAATGTTATTTCAACAAATTCAAGGTGCTTTTCATAAAAGAAAGCTGCCATGCTTTGTGGGCCATATTAGAGCTCACTCCAATCTTCTTGGTCCTTTAGCTGAGGGTAATGCAATGGCTGATAAGTTAACAAAGATAGAAGCATTATCCCAAGTGAAATTGGCTCAACAGTCACATACTCTTCATCATCAAAATAGCAAAACCTTAAGAAAACAACTCAATCTTACCAAGGAAGCAGCTCGAAAAATAGTTAAATAATGTGGGGTATGTCCAAAATATTTTCTTGTCCCTCACTTAGGGGTAAACCATCGAGGCCTTCTTCCTAATCATCTATAGCAAATGGATGTCACTCATATTGCAGAATTTGGCAAATTAAAATATGTATATGTGACCATTGACACTTATTTAGGATTTTTAATGACCAGTGCACAATCTGGGGAAGCTACAAAGCATGTAATTACACACTGTTTGAAGTGTTTTTTGTATATGGGTATAACGAAAATTATTAAAACTGATAATAGCTCTGGATATAGTAGTAAAGCATTTCAACACTTTTGTACCCAATGGAAAATTGAACATAAAACAGGTATTCCTTATAATCCTCAGGGACAAGGTATTGTAGAAAGGGTTCATAGCAGTCTTAAAATACAGCTTCAAAAACTGAAAATAAAAAGGAAGAAATTTACCCTCAATCACCACATAATGCATTAAATCATGCTCTTTTCATTCTGAATTTTTTGAATATGGATGTCTGTGAGGAGTCTGCCATGGACAGATTTTGGCACAGTGGTAACCAAGTGACTTTTGCTCAAGTGAAATGGAAGGATCTCTGCTCAGGATTATGGAAGGGTCCTGATCCTGTGTTAATATAGGGTTGAGGACATGTTTGTGTTTCTTCACAAGAGGAGAATGAAGCTTGGTGGTTACTGGAGCATTTGGTAAGGAGCATGGAGCTAAGGAAGGTCAGCTCCAATGACATTCCCATAGAAGAACTGGAATGAAAGTGGCTGAATTAGTGTTTCAGAGGTTTTGTCACTGGTTAATGCAAAATGTAAGGAAATGGAGTTTGGAGATATGCCACTTTTTGGCTTTATGGCTCCTTTGTGGAAATACTTTATATAGCCTAATAGCCGTGTAAGATTTTTGCTAAGAGATTTACAGCTGTTCAATATGGTAATTTCACCCTCAGCCTGAAGCAAAGCTTTTCAGTAGAGCAAACCAAAACTACTGCTGTAACAGAAACATTTGTCTAAATTGAAGCACTTAGGGGAGCTATTATGAGTTGGGGTAAAGGGACAGCCTCTAGTTAAAAACCATTTTCCACTGAGAGCGCATCTCTGCTGGTTCCAGAGTGGCTGAAAGAACTCAACAACTTTGGGGTGTGGCTTCTTCCCAAGAATGTTACAGTCTCCTAGCAACAAGTGTTACAACTCCATAACAACAACACTCACTAAATCCCAGTGTTGTATATCAAAACTGACTATAACCTCTGAAATTTAGAAATGATTTGTGTACTTCCTGTTGTGTTAAAAGTCATTCTAATAGTTCTATAAGTTTGGTAGAAATCTTTTAAGTGTTTGCTAAGTTAGATATATGCTAATAGATGTATAGAATATCTTTAAGACATGTAGTAATAAATAATAAAAAGTAAAGACATGTAGTATATTTGCTAAGGTAGTCCTACAATAAGCTTGTAAAAAGTAAAGATGCTAGTTGCAAATGTAAGTTTAAATAAGAATATAAGGAGTAAATATATAAGTAAATGTAGGTTTAAATAAGAATGTAAGAAGTAACTATATAAGTATATTTGCTAAGGAGTTTCTTTAAGAATATTAGCTTGTAAGAAGCATAAATGAGTATATGTTGATATGTTACATGTGAGTTTCTAAAAAAGTGTAAATGTTGAGTGTGAATGTATGCTTAATGTAGATGGCAAAAAAGTGTAAATGTTTGAATATGAGCCTATGCTTAATATATCAAGCTGGCAGTCTGAGCATTTTCAAAAACTCCAGAAGCTGCTAAGATGCTAAGAATTGCAGACAACAGAACCTGTACAACAATCACAGACAGGCATCTGCAACTGAGACCCATTGGAAAATCAACGCAGCAAAGAAAAACCTGAGCTAGCAGCAAAAATGGCGCAGTTTAAAATGCTACTGTAACTAAAGATGTCTTTGGCTTAAGAATGAAAGCTGCAGAGATGCTTGTTTGAACTAAAATTGTTAGCTGCAAAAAGTTTTTGGTTGTAAAACATTTCTTCATATTTGGAAGGCTGGTACCATAATTTATTATTTAAATTTTGGTACTTAAGAAATGAACAAAAGTGATTTCAATGCAATGGGATGACCTAGGAACTGTTTTCTAGAATTATTTGTGTTAAAATAAAAAGGAACTGTTTAAATGAAGAAATTTATTGTTTCTACCTAGGCTTGAGATACAGTTTTGCATATGCATGTATGCTTTATTAACTGTGGTGATTCATGAAACATTATGTGTTAAAAATGAAACTTTTAATGGAACTGTTTATGTAAAAATGGAATTACTTATGAAACTGGTGTTGTGTTTAAATGGAAAAGTTTGGATTTTCTTCTAACTAGGTTCAAGATTTTGTTCAAAAAATTATAAAGAAAAGAGGGAGTAATGAGTGAATTAAGGTTGAGTGTATTGATAGTAATCCACCCTGGTTTGAAGTTAATGAAATATTTAAGTTTGATGTGAATACATCAGAAGTTTTTCCTATGTTCTCTTAGCAAGAAATTCAAATGGTTCTGTTAAGAGTTTGATTTGAGATGGAAGATTGATGGAATTGCAACTACGTATAGCAAAATTTGTTAACCTGCTGATGTTAATGATGAAACTAAGGCATTCTTTAAGTTTGCAAATACATTAAGAGTTTTTGGGTTAGAAAAGGCTGGATGCAGCTAAGACTGCTGTAGTCACCTTGGACCCAATCAAAAAAAGAAATGTCATCTTTATTATTCTCAATTCCCATACTGGAAGAGGTGACAGCTATGGAGATTGCTATGAACTATTAATGAGGAGTTGTTTTTTTATATATTAAGAAAGGGGGACCTGTGGGAGCCCATTTTCAGGTTTCCTAGTGGCTTTACCCAGCAGGTCTGCATAGAGAGGATGCTTGGACACAGGGTGTGAGTGCAGGTGTCTGAGATGGTCTGCACTGGGCTGTGCTGGGGGGAGATCTTTTGCTCCAACCCTTGGCATTTCTGTAAATACCCTAGGGCAGAGACAGTCAGGGCCTGTTGGAATAGGTTCCAGGCCCTCTCGAGGTTATCCTGTATTTTCTATCTGTTTCTCCCCACTCAAAATCCTTCTATCTAATATTTTCTGCTGCTCCTACTCAAGAGCACTCTGGAGAAATGTGGGGGTGGTGGGTAGCCCTCCCACAATTGGGGAGGTTTAGGTAATGCTTGCCCTGCTGGAAGAAGTATGTCCCTGAGTGTGAACATGAGAGTTCGCATCCACACACCATTTCCAGTTCCCACTTTCACCTTCATGCCACAGGTGGAAGATGTGAATTCTTAGCTTCCTGCCTTAGCTGCCATGTTTGACACTTGTTGCCATGCCACTTTCATGGTGATCCTGTATCTTTCTGGACCTAAGGGCCAACTATTCCACAAGTTGACATAGACATAATGTTTTATCAGAGAAACATAAAAGGCACTAATACACATCATGTTTTATACCTGGATGCCTTAATTTCATGTAATTGAAGAGAACTGTGGAATAGAAAGGGTCTAGCTCATCGTTTAAATTCATAGGTTTTTGTCCATATGAGTTTGAAGGTGCAAATAAAAAAAGAGGGACATCATAATGCCTGAACAGATTGGTGACACTTGTCAAATATTTTCTCCAGAGTAATCTTGTGTAACTGAATGTAAGTCTGTTGGGTAAAGATCTTACCAAACTCTTTATGGCCAGATTTCCCTCAGTATTAGGTTTTTTTTTTAGGCCCTCAAAGACTACTATAAAATGAAAAGGCCTTAAGAGACGAATTACACATTAAGTTTTGTTCTTGTATAAAGACTAATATAAACTGCAAAACTTTACCACATTCACTACATTTATAGGGTTTCTCTGAGCGTGATTTTTTTCTCATGATTTCAAAGACTGCTGATTCATGCAAAGGCTTTTCCATATTGATTACAATCATAGGATCTCTCTCCAGTATGTGTTTCTTTATGCCTTCAGAGACTACCTGCACATGCAAAGGCTTCACCACATTGATTACATTCATAGGTTTTCTCTCCAGTATGTGTTCTTTCATGTACTTGAAGACTGGAATGTTGTGAAAAGACTTCACCACATGAATTACATTCACAGGATTTCACTCCAATATGTGTTCTTTTATATATTTGGAGACTATTGGCACATGTAAAGGCTTAACCATATTAATTTTATTCACTGGGTTTCTCTTTAGAATATATTCTTTCATGTATTTAGAGAGGACTGTGGCATGAAAAGGCATTATCACATTGATTATAGTTGAAGGGCTTCTCACTAGTATGAGTTCCTTTATGTATTCAGAAACTACTGACACATCCAGGTTTTACCTCATTGATAACATTCATAGGATTTCTCTCTTGTATGTGCACTTTTATGGATTTGGAGGTTATTGTGTTTTGAAAAGGCTTTATCTCATTGATTATATTCATAGGGTTTTGTAGCTAGAGTTTTCTTGCCTAGCCCACAGCCGATCAGACCCAACCAAGTAAACACAGAGACTTACATTGCTTACAAACTATACGGCCATGGCAGGCTTCTTGCTAACTGTTCTTATATCTTAAATTAATCCATTTCTATAAATCTATACCTTGCCCCGTGGCTCGTGTCTTACTGAAATCTTCACATGCTGCTTGTCATGGCGGCAGCAGACAGTGTCTCTCTGACTCAGCTTTCCACTTCCCAGAATTCTTCTCCTCCTTGTCCCATCTATACTTCCTCCTGCCTGGCTACTGGCCAATCAGTGTTTTATTTTTTAACCAATCAGAGCAACACATTTGACATACAGACCATCCCACAGCACTTCCCCTTTTTCTTTATTAAAAGGAAGGTTTTAACCTTAATATAGTAAAATTACATATAATTTGGGAATTTGGGCGTAGTTTCTCTTACTACTTCCTGCTGGAGGGGGGCACTGTATCTTATGAGGACACAAAGAAAATTTTAGGGTTATGGAGTAGTCCATGAGGCTGTATTGTCTGAGCCAGTTGCCTTTAAACCATTCTGGATGTTGGATCATCTGGGCCATGGTGTCTTCGGAGAACTTTCAGGGGGTCTTCACAGGTCAAACCTGATGTATCTTAATCTGGAACAAATCCATAGCCTCTGGCTTTCTGTGGAAACAAAAGCAGAGCCTCCTTTCCAAAGCAACATATCCTTAGATCCAAATTTTGAAATCAAGGTACATTTAAAATATACATTTTGGCATAACTCAATAGCTTTTGTAATCAAATGTTTTTCTTCAGTTAAAATATCAAAGAGAACATAATCCAGATTCTCTGTGTAGTAGCCATCTTTACATGGCTTATTTTTTATATTACCTTGACCCTATTGCTTTAAACTGCAGCATTCTAAGACTGCAGTTGGCTGCTGGCTCCGCCCATTTCAGCTTCCCATCATGGCAGTGGTACATTTTCCGCCAGCTCTGGGAGCCATCAACTCTCAGAAATAGTGGGTCTATGCTTCTATAAAAGCAGCGTGTAGCGCAGAAACTTCTTTTTTTTTGTTTGCTTTGTTCTAGCAAAGGCTAAATCCACCACGCAGCTTAATGTGCCACTTGCAGAGGCCTCATTTCCACTATACTGCAGGTCAAATGCACATTCATCAGGAACCTGCCATAGTAGCTCAAACCGGCAGACTGCCACTAACTTGAGAGAGACAACTAGGAAGCTGTTTTTACCTCCATTTTAGAATCTTTTTTCTCAGGTTTTAGGTGGAAACTCTTGCCAACACATTGGGCGCCATTTGTAGCTAGAGTTTTCTTGCCTGGCCCACAGCTGCTCAGACCCAACCAAGTAAACACAGAGACTTATATGACTTACAAACTGTATGACCATGGCAGGCTTCTTGCTAACTGTTCTTATATCTTAAATTAATCCATTTCTATAAATCTATAACTTGCCACGTGGCTCGTGGCTTACCGGCATCTTCACATGCTGCTTGTCATGGCGGCAGCTGGCAGTGTCTCTCTGACTCAGCCTTCCACTTCCCAGAATTCTTCTCCTCCTTGTCCTGCCTATACTTCCTCCTGCCTGGCTACTGGCCAATCAGTGTTTTATTTTTTTAACCAATCAGAGCAACACATTTGACATACAGACCACCCCACAGCAGGGTTTCTCTCAAGTATATGTTATTTTATGTATTTAAAAATGACCTTGAATTGCAAAGGCTTTACCACACTGATTACAGTCTTAGGGTTTCTCTCCAGTATGTATTCCTTTATGTATTCCAAGATTGTTGAGACATACAAAGGTTTTGCCACATTCATTAAATTCATAGTTTCTGTCCAGAATGTATTCCTTTTGTATTTGGACATGACTGTGTCATATAAAGGCTTTATTACATTGATTGCATTTGTAAGGTTCCTTTATGTATGCAGAGATTACCAGCACATGCAAAGGCTTTATCACATTGACTACATTCAGGGGGTTTCCTCTCTAGATTGTGTCCTTTTATGTTTTTGGAGATGAGAGTGTTGTGAAATCCTTTATTACATTGATTACATCTGTAGGGTTTCTTGCCAGTATGTGTTCTTTCATGTCTTCAGAAACTATTGGTACATACAAAGGCTTTACCATATTGATTACATTCATAGGGTTTCTATCCAGTATGTGTTCTTTCATGAATTTAACGGTTACTGTGTTGTGAAATGCTTTTATCACGTTTATTACATTTGTAGGATGTCTCTCCAGTAATGTGTTCTTTCATGTCTTTGGAGATAACTGTGTCATGAAAAGGCTTTATCACATTGATTACATTTGTAGGGTTTCTCTCCAGAATGTGTTCTTTCATGTGTTTGGAGACTACTGGAACATGCAAAGCCTTTACAACATTGATTACATTCATGGGGTTTTTCTCCAGAATGTGTTCTTTCATATATGTAGAGATGACAGTGTTGTAAAACGGCTTTATCACATTGATTACATTTGTAGGGTTTCTCTCCAGTATGTTTTCTTTCATGTATTTGGAAACTACCAACACATGCAAAGCCTTTATCACATTGATTACATTTGTAGGATTTCTCTCCAGAATGTGTTCTTTCATGCATTTGGAGAAAACTGTGTTGTGAAAAATTTTTATGACATTGACTACATTTGTAGGGTTTCTCTCCAGAATGTGTTCTTTTATGTCTTTGGAGATGGCTGTGTTGTGAATAGGCTTTCTCACATTGATTACATTTGTAGGGTTTCACTCCAGAATGTATATTTTCATGTTTTAGGAGACTACTGGAACATGCAAAGGCTTTATCACATTGATTACATTTGTAAGGTTTCTCTCCAGAATGTGTTCTTTCATGTATTTGGAGCTGACTGTGTTGTGAAAAGTTTTTATGACATTGACTACATTTGTAGGGTTTCTCTCCGGAATGTGTTCTTTCATGTCTTTGGAGATGACTGTGTTGTGAAAAGGCTTTATCACATTGATTACATTTGTAGGGTTTTTCTACAGAATGTGTTCTTTCATGTTTTCGGAGACTACTGGAACATGCAAAGGCTTGATCACATTGATTACATTTGAAGGGTTTCTCTCCAGAATGTATTCTTTCATGTATTTGGAGCTGACTGTGTTGTAAAAAGGCTTTATCACATTGATTACATTTGTAGGGTTTCTCTCCAGTATGTGTTCTTTCATGCATTTGGAGAGTACTGGCACATGCAAAAGCTTTATGACATTGATTACATTTGTAGGGTTTCTCTCCAGAATGCATTCTTTCATGTATTTCGAGACGACTGGGTCGTAAAAAGGCTTTATCACATTGATTACATTTGTAGGGTTTCTCTCCAGCATGTGTTCTTTCATGCATTTGGAGATAACTGTGTTGTGAAAAGGCTTTATCACATTGATGACATTTGTAGGGTTTCTCTCCAGTATGTGTTCTTTTATGTCTTTGGAGAAGACTGTGTTGTGAAAAGGCTTTATCACATTGATTACATTTGTAGGGTTTCTCTCCAGTATGTGTTCTTTTATGTCTTTGGAGAAGACTGTGTTGTAAAAAGGCTTTATCACATTGATTACATTTGTAGGGTTTCTCTACAGAATGTGTTCTTTCATGTATTTGGAGACTAGTGCCACATGCAAAGGCTTTATCACATTCATTACATTTGTAGGGTTTCTCTACAGAATGTGTTCTTTTATGCATGTGAAAATTACTGTATTGTGAAAAGGCTTTATCACACTGATTGCATTTGTAGGGTTTCTCTCCAGAATGTGTTCTTTTATGTATTTGGAGAGTATTGTTTTGTGAAAAGGCTTTATCACATTGATTACATTTGTAGGGTTTCTCTCCAGTATGTGTTCTTTCATGTCTTTGGAGATTACTGGTGCATGCAAAGGCTTTACCACATTGATTACATTCATAGGGTTTCTCTCCAGTATGTGTTCCTTTATGTATTTGAAAATGATCATGACTTGTGAAGGCTTTACCACATTGATTACTCTCACTGATTTTCTTTCCAGTATGTGTTTCTTTATGTATTTGGAGACTAATGTTGTGTGAAAAGGCTTCATCATATTGAATACAACTATGGAGTTTCTCTCCAGTATGAATACTTTCATTATTCTGAAGATGACTGTAATATAAAAATGCTTTTGCACATTGAGTATATTCAGAGGGTTTCTCCCCAATATGATGTTCTTTGTACCTGTAAAGATAATTGGCACATGTAAAAGCTTTATCACATTCAGTACACTGATGAATATTTATATCAGTATGAATTAATTTTACAATTTTGTCTAATTTTTAAGACAAATAAGATCTTAAAGTTTACACTCATAGTGTTTCCCTTCATTTAGGGCTGTTTTGTGTCTTTGAAGGTATCTGTTATGGTAAGAGCCTTTATTATAGGGTCCACATTTATACAATCTTTTGTCTATATGAGATTCTTCACATATTTGAAGAGAACTGGAAGAACTCAAAGCTTTAACATACTTATTGCACTCATAAGTTTTCCAATAGTGAGAGTCATACTCCACTTGCAAAGTGAACCAGGAAATAGACATATTTATACATTCCAATACTCAAGGAGCTTTTCTCTAGTCTGGGTGTCTTGATGTATTCCCAATAAAGTTGGAAAATCAATTAAATTTAAACTTGTATCACACTCAAAAATTCTACTCAAAGTGGGGACTATTACTTGTCTTCTAATTATTCTGTGTGTGTGAGAGAGAGTTATGTTGCATCCTTCCTATACTCACATGGCTTGTATCCAGAGTAGTATATGATATACTGATAAAGGAAAGCAAACAAATAAAATGTTTCCACAGTGCATTCACACAACTTGACTTTCTGTTCCTCATAGATATATACTTGGATATATACTTATCACCTATTCAACACATATTCCTTTTATAATATCTGAGTGGCATGAAATTAAACAGATTGGCTGTTCAACAGCAGAGCTATCATGGAGCTGTAATTCAAATGGGAATATCAGTGAAGGCATTGTTTCACTGTGTTCTTTCTTAGAGGAATGCCTTGAAAACACATATCAGCTACCTGACATTGAGGTATTTGGTTTTGTGAGAATTTAACAATCATCAGTACACTTTCAACTGTGCTTATTTACATTGTCACTTTTATTTAAAACTTCTGGGACACATTAAAATTTCTCCATAGGCACATTTGTATCAGCCAGCACATGAGAAGTACCTTCTAAGTCTTCCAGAACTTTGACAATGTTCTTCAATATCATGGTCTTCCCAACTGTAGCCTAAAATACAGTACCAGAAAATATATCATATATTATGGGAAACTGTGCAAAAGTTAAATTATTATCTTCAGTGGACCTTAGAACAATGCCAGATATATTCACCTCATTCTTCTTCTTTCTCAATTGAAATTACAAAAGTGTATCAATAACTAAGGAAGAGTTGTCCCCTTATTTTAAAATGTGATAAAAAAAAAATTCAGTCTTACCTACAGCAGTAAGGTTTCTGTAGGTCTCCCACATTACATCTTTGTAGAGATTCTTCTGGGAAGGATCCATCAAAGTCCACTCCTCCCAAGTGAAGTCGATATGCACATCATCATAGGTCACTGCAGTCTAAAATATCCCATACATGTGTACAACAGAAAGTGTGATATGACAACATGGTGATGTATACTTCTTTGGCAGTATATTCATATAATTCTGGGCCTCCCCACAGTTATTCCATGACACAAAAGTTCTAATCATCAACTCATTTTAGAAAACAAAAACTGAACAATGAGGTTCACATCTGTTATTTCTAAACATTTTGTCTAGGATATACCCTTGCAGGAGTAATACCTATTAAGAGATATAAAGAGGGGCTGGAGAGATGGCTCAGTGGTTAAGAGCACTGGCTGTTCTTCCAGAGTTCCTGAGTTCAATTCCTAGCAACCACATGGCTCACAACCATCTGTAATCAGATCTGGTGCCCTCTTCTGGCCTGCAGGCAGACATGCAGACAGCACACTGTATACATAATAAAGAAATAAATGAATCTTTTTTTTTTTTTTTGGTTTTTTGAGACAAGGTTTCTCTGTGTAGCTTTGTGCCTTTCCCGAATCTCGCTCTGTAGACCAGTCTGGCCTCAAACTCACAAAGATCCACCTGGCTCTGGCTCCCGAGTGCTGGGATTAAAGGCATGTACCACCAACGCCCAACTAGGCTCACAACCAAAAATCTTTTTTTAAAAAAAGAGAGATATAAGGGAGGCAAGCAAACAGATCAAAGTACACATTAGAGTTATTGAATGAACAATTACTAACTACAAAAAAGATGGGCAAGTTGGGTGTACTGGCTCAAGTCTTTAATCCCAGCACTCACAAGGCAAAGGCAGGAGAATTTAATTGAGTTTGCTGCCAACCTGCCTATACAAAGAATTTCAGGTTAGTCAGTTACATATTAGTAAGACTCTTTCTCCCCCATAAAAATAAATTGTACAAAAAAGGTAGAAAGAACACACAGGTTTCTATAGAACTTTCTACAAAGAATTATGCATACACTCCAGTTCTGTTTTGATCTTCCAGAAACCAGTTTAAATTATAATAATAATAAGATCTTACTAAAAGGGAATGCATGTTTGAAGTTACAAGTGAACAGATGAAAACATCAGCAATATAAATGTTAATCATAAAAAATAACATAGGACAGTAGAAATGGTTCAATATTTAACACGTCTTGCTGGTCTTACAGACAGTTGGGCTCACCATAAATGGGGGCTTACAACTATCCATTACTACAAGTCCAGGGGTTGTGAAACTATCTTCTGATTCCTGTGAGGACCAGGCACACATGTGGTACATATCCATACATACAAGCAAAAGATGCACATTCCTCAAAAGAATTGAAAACCAACATGATAGGTAGGAAGAATGTCACACAGCTGCAATTGAATGACTCAGAAGGCTCATGCAGTTTTAATGTCATGAGTATGCCATCCTGGGAAAGAGAATGATACATTCTGCCATAATTCAAAATTCAACATGAGGGTGAAGCTCAGCAAAACAGCATATGCTTGACATGTAGAAATACCTATACAACAAGCCCATCACCCAATAATATAAAAACAAAAAAGCCCAGGCATGATGGCCAACATTTAATCACAGGATAAGAGCCAGAATAATTTGGATCTCTGAGTTTAGGTCAGTCTGGTATACAGAGGTACTTTCAGGACAGCCAGGACTACACAGGGAAACCTTCTCTTCAAAAACAAAAATAAAAACAACAAAATGGACAAAAACTCAGGTTACAAAATGGCTTAGCAGTGAATATCAATTGCTTCAACTATATCTTACAGGATTTAGTGATACCATGTATAGCAGTGGTTTAAGACATGACAGCCAGACACAAACAACATGAGCTAAAGAAAAGGGCTGTGGAATGCTCAGGTGACTGGGCTGTATCAGTACCTGGGCTTGAGCCCATCTGTACTGGCTGGGAAGATGTCTGTGTGACTGTGCTATGGTATGGGTCTGGTGGCTTGCTCATTGTGGACATTGTTGCTGGGTTTGGGGAAACAGTTGCAGTGGCATTTTCCTGAGTCTCAGACAGAACTTTGTTTGCTGTGAACAGTTTTCCTCAGGGTGGCTGTGGTTGGTGAAGAGGTGTTTGTAACAGCCAAACTTATCATGGGTAAAAATTTGTTTGTGTCAGTGACTTTGTCTAGTGTTAATGAGAGTGGAGTTAAAGCTGACTTCTCAGGAAGAGTGGGTGTCCCAGTTCCAGATGACGGGATGGTATGTTTAATGCTGTTGAAAGTATTGTTTTGGTCCTATTTGTTTTTCTGAGGCCTAGAGACACTGATGATCCTATTCCAGTGTTGGTGGACTTTGGTGATCATAGAGTTGTACCTAGAGGCATGATAACATTAGAAATTGTCTGCCCTGACTGGAAAGTTGTGTGATTATGCTGTGGTGTGTGTCTGGTGACTTGCTCATTGTAGGGGTTGTTGCTGTGGTTGGGGGTACACCTGCATAGGAAATGGATTGAGGCTAAAGACACTCAAATTCCTTCCCCAGTGAGGAATTTCATCCAGAAAGTCTCTTCCTGCTAAAGTTTCCCCAAACACCCAAAAGAAAGCCACCAAGGAGAGAGAAGTATTCAAATACATTATCCTATCTGGGAGTGTTTTCATTCAACTGAAAACATCCTGAACATAGGCTTATGGTCACCCCATGATCAAAACACATTTAGTCTATCTTCAATGATCCTCATAGTCTTCAACAGCACCTACAGTTTCAAATGTTCAAGGTCTCTTTGGACACTCAGGTGATTCCTTGACTCTGACATCTTGTAAAATCAGAAAAGAAGTTACATCTTTCCAACATACACTGGCACAGAATACCCATTACCATTCCCAAAGAGGAAGTGGAACACAGTGAGTGAAGACTGGACCAAGGCAAGACTGAAACCCAGCAGGGTAAACACCAAATCCAGCAGCTCTGTCTCAGACATATGGGGCTTCAGTTTCAAAGCTTAGGTGTCTCATTTTCCTGAAATTTCTCATATATCTCTTTGGCTACTTCCATTCCCTATATGCAGCTCTCCATGGCAGATGTCTCACAGCTTTGGTATCTCAACATTTTGTGGTCTCAAAATGTAACCTGGGCTTCATGCTCAAAGCTTCAAGCAATGAACTTTCACAGGATCCTCACTGGGGCTCTGACTCTGCCAAACATAGATGACTGCGAAAGTGCTAAACTGAAACCACAGATCAGGAATCCATGACCAGAAATTTTGATTCTTTCTTATTTCCAGAACCAGCACAAGCTTGGCTTCTTAATTGAGATGGACCTTGCAGAGTTAGGACAACACGCAGCAGGTTTTGTATGAAGCTGCTTCCTGGGAATAGGAATCAATTTGCCTAATCCTCTCATTAATTGAAGGCTTAACATGAAGACCTTAGGGTACCTAGATAGGCTTTCTTCTCTTTAATGGTGATCTACTTGAAAATTCCTATCTGTTTCAGCACATGACTGCCATGTGAAACTACCTTTTCATTGTCACTGGTGTCTGAAAAAATTATTGCATTTTTCACTGTAGACCTGAATGAGTCATCAGTAATAAGCAAGCAACAGATTCAATATTCCATCTAAGAAATGAGCCCATTACTTTTTAATTTGGCCTTACTCAATTTCTCAGGGCAAGGGCAGAATAAGGAAGATTCTAGGCCAAATAAGACACAAATGACCTCTAGCTTAATGTTTCATAGAGTCTACTTCTCACTAAAATCTATGACCTTGACCTCCTCTGTGTGCATTACTCTCATGAGTCTCATCTTCCTCATCCTACAAGAACAGCCTATTGAGCTCTGTGTATAGTTTTCTATGACTTTTGTCATTTAAGTTCTGATATCTTCTACATTCCTCTAAAGGACAACATTCCCAGATTCTTCCCAGCAACACAATCATTTTTGGTGTTCCATTTTTTGTTCTAACTTGCTTCTGTGCTGCTCTGATTAAATCTTCTAATCAAAATCTTCTCAGGTAAGTTTATTTAGCTGATTCTGCCAGGTCACAATCCATCATTGTGGTATATAAAATAAAGATAAAAACAATGGGCAAACGCTGTTTCCTGGCCTTCTCACTTGCTTTGTCACTGTCTTGTGCTCAGTCAGCTCTCCTATCCATCCCAGGTCCACTTGCTTAGAGATATTGCCAACTCACTGGAAGAGTCTTCCCACATCAATCATCAACACAATCTCTTACAGACATAGCCGTTCCTGACAATTATGAATAAACCAACTTTGAACATCGTTAAGCAAGTGTATTTGTGTCAGGATGGAGAAACATTTGGGGGATATATGCCCAAGGGTGGTAATAGCTAGGTTTTGAGGTAGATAGATTCCCAATTATCTGAGGAACTGGTATATTGATTTCCATAATGGCTGAACAAGTTTTCACTCCCACCAGCAATGGAGGAGTGCTCCCCTTGTTCCACATCCTGGCCAGCATGAGCTCTCACTTGTGTCATTCATCTTAGCCATTCTGACAGGTGTAAGATGAAATACCAAAGTAATTTTGACTTACATTTCATTGATTGCCAAGGATGTTTAACATTTCCTTAAGTGTTTTTCAGCCATTTTAGATTCTTCTATTAAGAATTCTGTTTAGATATGTACCATATTTTTTAATTGAACCATTTTATTTGTTGATGTCTAGTTTCTTAAGTTGTTTATTATTCTGAGTGAGGCAACCCAGAACCACATAGACAAACATGATATGCTATTCACTTATAATTAGACATTAGCTGTCAAGTAAACAATACCAACAATATAATCCACAGACCCAGAGAGGATAAGTAACCAGGATGGTTGTGGAGGCAGGGGAATGCATGGATCTCCCTGGGAAGAGGAGATAAAATAGATTTTATGGGTGGACTGGGGGCAGGAACAGAAAATATCAAGTAAGAGAGGGACAGAGGGAGAGAATATAGGAAAAAGTGAGTGCAATAGGGTAGCTATTGGGGGTGATGTGGAAACCTAGTATGGTAGAAACTTTCTGGAAGCTATCAGGATGACTCTAATGAGGACTCCAAATATTTGAGAATATGGAGCCTGAACTAGCCATATAAGGCTCCCAGTGGTGGGAATGGGACACCAGCCTAGCCACAAAAATGTTCAACCCACACTTACCTTGTCTGCAAGATATTCTGGGGTAATGGTGTCTTGGAATTTGTGTAGTAATCAACCAACTACTGGACTAACTTGAGGCCCAAGATCAAAGAGGGAGCCCATGCCCAACACTGCTTGGATGAACAGGAACCAGAAGTTAGATGGCTCAGAGAACTAGGGTAGAACCAAATACAACTGACCAAAAAGAAAAAAAAGTCAATGAATTGATATCTAACAATATTCTATTATCATAGATTAGTACCTAGTCCAATTGTCATCAGAGAGGCCTCCTCCTGCAGGTGATGGGAGCAGATGCAGAGATCCTCATCCAAATACTAGCTGGAGCTCTGGGAACCCTGCATAAGGGTGGACTGTAGGACCCAGAGGGGTTAAGAACACCAGGAGAACATGTCCACAGAATCAACTAGGCAGGGACCAAAGGGGCTCAAAGAGACAGATGAAGCAATCATGGGTACTGCATGAGTCTGTGCCAGGTCCTCTGCATACATGCTGTGTTTTTTTACCTTGATGTGTTTGTGAGAGTAAGGGTATCTCTGACTATTTTCCCTATTCTTAGATCCTTTTCCTCCTCCTGGATTGCCTAATCCAGCCTTGATATGAGAATTTGTGCCTAATCATACTATAACTTGCTGTGTCATGTTTTGTTAATATGCTTGGGAGATCTGCCCTCTAGTGAACAGAAATGAAGGAGGAGGGGATTTAGGGGAGAGAGGTACAGAGAAGGAGTGGAAGGAGGGGAAACTGTATTTTGAGGTGTATTGTGTCAGAGAAAATAAATTTTAATAAAGAAAGGAAGTAGAGGAATATGGACACAGTGAGGCAAGATTGGACCAAGGCAAGACTAAAACTCAGCAGGGCAAACACCAAATACTGTTGCTCTGTCTCAGATACATGGGGCTTCATTCTCAAAGGACTTAGATAGCTTTAACACTGCAACTTTTCATACATGTCTCTCCTTTGCTACTTCCACTCCATGTATTCAGCTTTCCATGGCAGATGTCCCATAGCTTGGGTATTTCAACATCTGATGGTCTCAAAATGCAACCCAGCTTCATCTTCACAACTTTATGCAATGAATACTCACAGCCTCCACACAGAGTTTCTGACTCTGCCAAAACCAAAAGTGTACAACAGTGTTAAACTGATGCCATGGAAGAAATCATGACCATTAAATTGTGCATCTTTCCTGTTTCCAGAACCAGTACAACATGGGTAATTCCTCCCAAATTTGGCTTCTAAGTTGTGATGGACCCTGCCATTTTTCAAACTGATTTGCAGCAGACTCTGTATGAAGTTTCAACCTGGCACTAGAAATCACTTTGTTCAATCCATCTATAAGTTAAAGGTTTAGCTGATGGGGTCTTACACATAGGGCTGATAGGCATCTACTGTAAAGCAAGGGAGTTCTCTTTAATAGTAACAGTCTTCTTGAAAGATCCTGCTGGCTTCACCAGCAGACTGTCATCTGAAACTACATAGTGCTATTTTTCAAATTTTTATTAAGAAAATTTCTATTCATTTTACATACCAACCATAGATACCCTCTCCTCCCTCAGCCTTCCCCCCACTAACGCCCCATTTCCACATCCTCCAAGTCAAGGTTTCCAATGGGGAGTCAGCAGAGACTGGTACATTCAGTTGAGGCAGGTCCAAAGCCCTCCCTTCTGCAAAAGGCTGCCCAAGGTGTCACACCTTAGGCACTGGGCTCCAAAAAGCCTGCTCATGCACCAGGGATGAATACCAATCACCCTGCCTGGGGGCCCACCAAACAGTTCAAGCTAAATAACTGTCTTCCATATCCAGAGGACCCAGTCTAGTCCCATGGGGGCTCCTCAGCTATTGGTTCACAGTTCAGGTGTGTCCACTAGTTTGGCGGGCAGCTCTGCATGTTTTCCCATCATGATCTCAATGTCCCTTGCTTATAGAATCCCTCTCTTGTTGTTTGGACTCCTGGAGCTCGGCCTGGGACCTGGCCATGGATCTGTGCATCTGATTCCATCAGTAACTGGATGAAGGCTCTATGATTACAGTTAGGGTATTCACTAATCTAGTTACTGGAATAGACCAGTTCAGGCACCCTCTCAACTATGGCTAGTAGTCCAAGGTGAGATCATCCTTGTAGATTCATGGGAACTTCCCTAGAATTCTGTTTCTCCCTATTCCCATGATGTCTTCATTTATCATGGTATCTCTTTCCTTGCTCTCCCACTCTGTCCCTGTTCCAGCTCAAACCTCCCATTTCCTTATGTTCTCATACCCCATTCCTTGCCCTCCATTAACGTCCCCTCACCCTCAGTTTGCTCATGTAGATCTTATCTATTTCTCCATCTCTGGGCTACCTATGTGTCCCTCTTAGGGTTGTCCTTGTTAGCTAGCTTCTCTGGAGCTGTGGGTTGTAGTCTGGTTATCCTTTGCTTTGTACATCTAGTATCCACTTATGAGTGAGTACACACTATGTTTATTCTTCTCGGTCTGGGCTACCTCACTCAGGATGATTTTTCTAGTTCCATCCACTTGCCTGCATATTTTATGATATCACTTTTTTTAACTGCTGAGTAGTATTCCATTGTGTATATGTGCCACATTTTCTGAATCCATTGTTTGGTTGAGTGGCATCTAAGCTGTTTCCAGGCTCTGGTTATTATGAATAATGTTGCTATGAACATAGCTGAGCATGTGTCCTTGTTGTATGATTGAATAATCCTTGGGTATATGCCTAAGAGTGTATAGCTGAGTGTTGAGGTAGACTGACTCCCAATTTTCTGAGAAACCACCATACTGATTTCCAGAGTGGCTGAACAAGTTTGCATTCCCATCAACAGTGGAGGAGTGTTCCCCTTGTTCCACATCATCTCCAAATTAGCTGTCTTCAATATTTTTGATCATAGCCATTCTGTCAGGTGTAATATGGTATCTCAGAGTCATTTTGATTTGAATTTCCCTGATGACTAAGGATGTTGAGTAATTCCTTGAAAGTCTTTCAACCATTTGAGATTGTTCTATTGAGAATTCTCTGTTTATAGCTCTGTAGCACATTTTTAATTGTATTGTTCTACATTTTGAGGTCTAGTTTTTTAATTCTTTATATATTTTGGAGATCAGCCCTCTACAATTAATAAACAGGACCTCCTGAAAGCTTTTGTAGGGCAAAGGACACAGTCAATAAGACAAAAGAACAGACTACAGAATGGGAAAAGATCTTCACCAATGTCACATCTGACAGAAGAAATGCATTTAAAGAAAATGAAATTTAAAAATAATAATTGTCTTTTAGCATGATAAAAGTACTTTAAGATAAAAAACTTAGCTATATTAGCTATATTGACTTTTTTAAAAAAAGTAGAATCTTCCCTAGTTGAGGAAATGCAATTAATAAGCGACTGACTGATCTTGTCCATGTGCACATACATGTTGGCTACTGAGATCTGTAACTTGACACACAGAGTTACAGGCAATGGTCTATTTCTCAGTCTTCTAAGCTGACATAATTCTGTCAAGCAGAACTGAACATATCTGCAAAGGAGAGTTGTCTAATTGGAAATTCAATATTCACTGGCTCAAACTAACTTTCTCAAATTGTACACCCACCAATCTGGTCTATGTTCATGATATGAATTAAAATATGCAGGAAAAATACTAAATCACTCACCCTGAAACAATCAGGTCCTCTTTCATAATGGTGACTCCAGCAGCTGATTGCCAATCCTGTTTCCCCCTAAAGTGCACACAATAAACTATTCCTCCTATTCTCCTCTGAAGGCATCAGCCATACTCCACATGCAAATCCTTTTCCTGTGACTGCAATGGATAGTCAACTACATGACACAAATGGGTAAATTTAAAACTTTGAGGTGGTAGAGTCATTTAATTTAAGAATTTATAATGTTTGATGATGGAAACCAAGGTCAACACTGTGGGGACCAATGTACTGGAATCAAGGCCACTTGAATTAATATAGAAGAGTTTCTCTCAGAAAAACATTCTAAATAGCTGGGGGTGCAGCTGTTCAAGAATTAATATGCCTTCCAAAGGAGAAATCATTCCATACACTTGAGATTAAAAAAGAAAAATTTTATTAATGATAGCATGCATCCATTTCTGACTAATGCTCAATGAGGAGCCAGCCTGGAACAGATTTTGCATTCCACATGTTCTGTCATCCTTAAGTTTCCTTTAGGTTCAGGCTCCAGTTATACGTTGAACAATTTAAATAGGATTAGGAGATTGCAAGTCTAGCCACTTAGGCAGATGGGAAACTCACACAGCAAAGATAATTCCAGATTTATTTCTTAAGTACACCACTAACATGAAACAGCAGGTCATTCTTCATTGACAGGGTCCTGAGGTAGAGGTGCCAGGAGATGAGAAGGCACCTCCTCATCCAGGGGATGAGAAGGGTAGGAAAAGTAGAAGTCAGAAAAAATAAAGGCTGGTATAGGGAGGTCTTTACAAGTTATGCCTCATGCCAAGTAAACTTCTTAAGGAGAATAGCATCTTCCAGTGGGAAATAGAAGAAAATAAGAGACTTCTATAAAGTCAACAGAAGCTACCATACAATGGGGCAAACTCAGGAGGAGGCAATTCACACAATGCTGCATAAAGAGAACACAGAGTACCTCAAAAACATTACTGACTAAGCACATAGTGGCCTTGGGATTGATAACCATAGTGCCCTGTGGTAATAAGAGTTGTATTCTCAGGATATGAAGCAACCCCTTCACAAAGGTCCTGGCCCAGATCATTACCAGCTTTCCCTAGCATATTCCTGGTTTTAAAGAAGGAGCTCTGCTGTGGGATGTTCTGTATGGCAAATGTGTTGCTGATTGGTCAATAAATAAAACACTGATTGGCCATTGGCTAGGCAGGAAGTATAGGCGGGACAAGGAGAATAAAGCTGAGAAGTGGAAGGCTGAGTCAGAGAGACACTGCCAGCCACCACGATGAGAAACAGCATGTGAAGATGCCAGTAAGCCACGAGCCATGTGGCAAGGTATAGATTAATGGAAATGGATTAATTTAAGCTGTAAGAACAGTTAGCAAGAAGCCTGCCACGGCCATACAGTTTGTAACCAATATAAGTCTCTGTGTTTACTTGGTTAGGTCTGAGTGGCTGTGGGACTGGCAGGTGATAGAGATTTGTCCTGACTGTGGGCTAGGCAGGAAAACTCAAGCTACAGAGCTCTATTTTATTCTCAATATATGAGGTCCTTAAAGAAAGCTCCCAAGTCCTAGACTCCAGGCCTTTTCTGGTTCTATGAGCACCTTCCTTCTCTCTGTGTGAGGGCCTAGAGGAAAAGTCTTATTGATCAGGCCATCATTCAACACAATAGTATTTTTCTTTTCAAATAGGTATCACCTTGTCCATCTGTCAGAACCATGCTTTTCTCAAGAAAAGAATTGAGAACTTAATTGCACACCAGGCCTTAAGGTTGGTTGTGACCCTGTAGTGCCCCCTAGAGCAGCTTATTAAGAGGCCTGTTCTTTGATATAAGGATGGGCCTAGTGAAAATCAAGGGTGTCTCCTTTGTCATAGTTTGGAGCCAAATGCCTGGACAATCCTGGTGAACAAATGTGTATCCTAGCATCTTAATCTCTAACAGGCCTGGTTAGCATATACTTATCTTTGTGGTATTTTAGAGGCAGCCTCCCTTAGTTAAATTCTACTCTCTGTGACTTACTATCTCCTAAGCATTGGTAAATCCTTTATATCACCAATTCTACTCTTCTATATCACAGCTTAATAGTGGAGTGCTACTCAACAAAAGAGATGCCATTTATAATCCCTATAAAATTATTTGCAAATTCATCATTAGAGAAACTAGGCCTCTACAAATTTAAGAGCTGCCTTCCATGACTGCATGAAAAGCATGTTGACCTTCACTACAAAGATGTTTCTACACATAGCTCCCTGTTCCCAATGCTCTGAGCAGAGACAGCCCACAGAGCAATGTTATTCAGAGTCCTACACCTGGGTCCAGGGAGTTGCAAGGACCACATGGTACCTCACAGGACAGGGAATCTGGCTACAGGTTCCCACCCAACCCCAGAGAGGACTGCCACACTGGCTTCTGAGGCTCACCATTTGCTCTTCCTGACCTAGGGACAGCAGCCTCTTGCTCACCATGCTGTGACTTCCCAGCTTACCCATGCTCCCTCCTCTGCTCCTTCTAACAGCACAGGCAGCACACAAAACCACTGGTATACACTCTGTTACAAAGACAAGACTGCAGCCTGGCCCTGGAAAGCCCACCCCCACCACCACTCTCCTCTGACTGGCAGGTAAGACTGGAGGGCCTGATTGGCTACTGAGGCCTGAGTGACAAGAGCACCTTCCTTAGGATAACTGTGTGCTTAAAGACTCTGTGCAGTGAGTGGTTCCTGGCCCTGCCTTCCACCCAAGACACAGATCTTTTCCAGATCTACAGAGATTTCCATTACAACAGCACTTGCCCCTGGCTCAAATAGCTGACCTTGCTATATTCCTGCACTCCACAGGCACTTCCCCTTCTTCCTCCTGGACACCATGTGGCTAGCTTGCACAGCCCATTACACAATGTGGAGTGGAGTGATTCCCCTCTCCACCAGGTTGAAGTATGCCCAGAATATTAACAATTACAGAGAGATTTTAGGACACAAAATAAAATGTCTGTTTTATGGCTTCACACTGAGGTCTGATGAACTCAGGTACTTTTTACCTGGTTGTCATAGGGACTTTAGACAACCAAGAGAGAAAAGCAGGAATCAGATCACAGACAAGATAGATCTTTCTTCCATCAGAAGGCTGGATGATGGTTCCATTGCTTTAGGAGATTTATTCCTGAAATTCATTTCAATCTCTTGACAATTTAACAACAATATGAAGTGTAATCTTTACAATAAGTTGAATACTTAAAGAAAAATGGAACAAGTTCCTTTATGAGCACTACTGTTAGGTACAACATCTTCCTCTGGGCAAATGAAAATAAAACAAAACAGTATTAGTAACGTTCTCTGCTTGAACAGAACTGATAGATTCAGTCTCCCTATTTAGGTAGAACGTGAATTTATTAGAATGTCTCACATTCTGTGGTCTAGCTAGTCCAACATTGGCTGTCAACCAATGAAAAGTTGAAGAATTCAGTACTTCTTCAATCCTTGAGGCTGGATGTCTCGAATGGTCTTCAGTATACACCGGAATTCCTAAAAATTGGGCTCTAAAGAGAGTAAATGAATCACCTTCCTAGGCAAAGAGAATGAGCTTCCTTCTTCAATATTCTTTATATATATAGGCTACCACCAGAAGGTCTGGCCAAGATTAAAGGTGGATCAAATTACCTTGAAGATCCAGATTAATGAAGGGTCTTCCCATTTCAAAATTTTAAATAAGAATAATCTCTCACAGGTATACCCAAGTGCTTTACCCACAAAAATATGAAGTGGGGATTCAGCCATCATTGACAAGTCCAACCCATTAGATCTGGGGGTTCTGGTAGAGGAGTTAAAAGCCTAAAAGCAAGATGCTTTGGAGTCATTGCTTTTTCAATGTATTGGCTGTTTCCTGCAGTGAATTTCTTGTGTGAAATTGTAGCTTTCTCATCTGTTACTACCATGGAATTCAATTCAAGAGCTTCTAGCAGTGTAATTGATCATTATTGGGCACAATTTCCCCTATGTATTTGGGGTATATTGATAACTTCCCACAGTTATGTGTGAAAACAGTTACACAGGCAAAATTTTGAGACATCTCAGACATTCAAGGACAAAGTATGAGCATATTGTTGATTTGCAACCCTTAGATAGATGGAAATGTACTCTGGCTTTACCTCACCTGCAGATAAGAAAAACTATCCTGAACAAACCTCACTAACCCTAAACTCTTAACTCCTTATACTTACTTTCACCTCAGTTTATTAACACGAGACTTTAGCTTAGAGATTTATTGCCTGTAAACACTGAGATATAGTGGAAAAGGTAATCAGCCATTTGCTAGTACCTGGAGATGAGTAAACTTTCCCAAGAACCCTCTGAGGACCTGTCCATCCATAGCCAGAGGGACGGGAAGGTGCCAGGTTCTGTTTCTTGTACAAATTAAGCTTAATTCTATCTTGATTCTGCATCTTTAAGCAATAGGTATAATCTTTAGATCTAAGAAGTTCCTTTTAAGCAACTGATTATAGCTAAAGTGCTACAGCAGACCAAAAGCTGCACATCTTCCTCTACTGCTTAGGCAGGTTGCCTAGTAACCAAAGATGCTTACCCTGCCTGTGGAAAAATGGCTCATGAGAGCCCTTTGGAAGCAGAGCAGGTGGAAAAGACAGTTTTACCTTATTCATCATTTTCATGATTAATAGATTTTTTTAACTTATATGTAGCCACATTTAGGAATGTAGTTTGAGCACAGGAATTCCCACCTCAGATTACATTTGTGGATTTAATTCTTAGTTGACCTCACCAAAAAACTTTCACTAGCCACTCCCACCTTGTGTCATAAGTGAAACCTGACAGTTATTGCTCTGTGTATGAATTTCAAGCCTCTCCTTGCATTGCCAAAGAACTATTGTTTTTAAATGTATATAGGCCGGTACCCTCACTGTAGAGATGATGCTTACTTGGAACAATAAAAAGATGGACTGAAAGAGCACAGTGTGAGTAGATTCATTCCTCTCCCCTCACTTCTAGTTTTCCTCCACTGGTTGTAGAGTCTCCTTTCGACTCAGAGAGAAAGTCTTTAAGGCAGGCCCCTAAAAGCTTTTGCTATCCTTACCCAATTCTTTGTGCATTAGTTAATTCCAGTGCTAGTCAGTTTTAGGTACCAAAAACAGTCGTCACAAGAGGCAAGACAGAAGATCTGAGAAAGATTTCTTACCTGAAGGAGGCAAGGAGAATGTGGGAGTCATTTCCAAAGCAATGCTTTGCCTAAGCAACAGAAGCATGGGTATTTTACGTGGGGAGTCTGTAAACATTATATAGAGTTCTGCTGTTCTCACACTGACAATGGAGAGAGAATATAAATACAGAAAACACAAAGGAAAAGTCACCTATCAGCACTGTGGTCACTGCTCTTAGTTGGATGGCTCTGCTGAGCTACTGTAACCTAAGAACAAGGCTTCCTTTGCCTCTGAGCAGGCAAGTTCAGAAGAAGGCCACAGCTGCTTCCACACAGGATCATTTTGACTAGGAGTTCATTTTAACAAGCCCTGGCTGCTGTCTGTCTCAGGACTGTGACATTGCTATAGACAATTCCATTATTTCCTTTTCCTAACTTTTTAAAAAATGTTAGTTATATGAGTATTTTGCCTGCATGTGGCTTTGCACAGAACCTACAAAGGCCAGAAGGGAGCAAGATATCCCTGGGCCTGGAGTTACAGCAAATAGTTAGCTACCATGTGGGTTCTAGGAATAGAATTTGGATCCTCTGAAACAACATCCAGTGATCTTATCTACTGAGTAATCTCTCTAGCCCCTTCTATTATTTCAATTTTATTTCCATACATTTTAATTAAAAGATACAGCATCACTTTCCCCTTGTTCTCTCTTCACTCCATCCCTTTTCTAATGTTTCCCTCCCAACTTCTTCCTTGTCAAGTATGTATGAGTATGTATGCTGAAATACGTGAAGGTAACCTGCTGAGTCTGTTTTTGTTGGTTGTATATGGTTGCAGGGCTGACGACAGTGTAATAGAGAGCAGTAAGGGAATGTACATTAGTGACACAGAAGAGGAATCAAACCTGCATGTTGAAAGTGTGTTTCAGTAAGAGGCCTTGCAGATGTCCATGAATTCATATCCAGGTTCTTTTCATTTTGAACACCAAACAGGGTGGTGAAGAAGTCTTATTTCTATTAAACTGATAAAATAACCTGACTCAAAGTAACTTTGGGGGAAAACATTCACTTGATTCATAATTTTATGGTACATCCCTATCAAACAGGACCTTTCCTGCCATGGTCCCCAAAGTATCATGATGTTAATAATGTAAAACACTCTCACCTTCTTAAATCCCAAAGTGTTGAAAATTTTCAACATTTATTAAGTCTACAGACACATAAATGTATATTCTGTGAAAAAAAAGAGTAAGAGCCCACTGTTTTCAAAAAGGGGAGAACAGGAGAATAGCAAATAATCAATCACATTTAAGGAAACCAAAACCTAGCAGCTTCCTGTATCACACTGTACAAGTTCTGAGACTCTAATGATATTCTGGGCTCTCAGAGACTGCGGAAGCTCCATGTTTCAGGCTCTGCCATCACTAGCACACACAGCTTGCCTACCATCCCAGTTCTACTCCGCAACTGCAGCTCTCCTTGGTCATCCTACAGTCCAGGAACCTACCACCCCTTCAGGTGTCCACTGGACTCACTGACCTCTCAGGGCCTCTCCGCAGGTGTTTCAAATCTGTTCCAGTGTCATCAGCTCTTCATGAGCCCTTCAGTCTTGGATTGGCAGGCAAGATACCGAGGCAGAAGAATCCCAGCAAATTACCAAACTGTCTGGGCTCTGCCCAGATATCAAGCAAAGGTAGTATCTATTCCTTTGGTCTACTGTATGTGGATTCTACTTTTTACCTGACAGCTTACTGAATTTGAGGGGATACAAAGGGGTAAAGAATAACACAGCAGACAGGAGGAGACGTGAAGGAGATGGGAAAGGACAGGAGGAGACAGGAGAGGACCTGATCATCCCTAGGGCACTGGAAGTGCTTCAGTTCTCTGAGTCCCAGTATCAGTTCCCTGGAATCTCTACTGTCTGGTCCATCTAGTCCTGACCTCCTGGAGATGGTGCACTGATGGAGCCTGGGAAGTGTTCCTATTCCCAGCCTTGCAGTTACTGTTTGTACCTCAAATCAGCTTGGCTTGCCCTCAGTCAAGTGACAAGGACACAGAAATGTGAGCAGGGGAAGAACAGAAAGATATTAACCCTATCCAATCAGCAGCCTGGCGAAGTCTTCTCCCCATCCTCTACACTCACATCCTGAGACCCTGTCACCCTAGAAATGTTGTGAGCCTGAATTTTAAGGCAATTGGAACTTACATCTCCCACAGCTTCAACCTTGGGGTTCACATGCCTTATGGAAAAAGACACCTTAAGCATTGGAGGTGAGATTATCCAGAGGCCCACAGTCTTGTTCAGGTCTGCAGAAGATAGCAAGGGACAGTTTCCTGAGCCCACCATAGACTTGTCTGTTCCTGGGGGCCTGCCTCCATACCCCACTGTACACTTAGCCCTTGGATGTTGTTGAAACCCTCAAACTCCAGCCTCTGCCTCCTAAGTTTTGTGATCACAGGGTTGGACACCATGTCTGGCTTTGGTGACTTCTTACTCAACTTTAATGGGTGTCATGGAGTGAACATGTGGACATTCAAAATATAAAATTTTAAAAGTCAATAAAAAGAAGTAACCATGGTGATTGATTCCACTGTATCCATAGTCAGGAAGCAGACAGTGATGAATGTCGGTCATTATTACATAATTCAGTACCAAATCTATGGAATGGAATGGTGCTATCATTTCTAGAAGGCAGAAGAGTCTTCTCATCTCAATGAACTTAATATATAAGATAATCTCTCATAAGCACACCTCAGAGAATAACATGATCTAGATAAGCCCTCAGAGGTGTGACTGGAAGAGTGTCCCTTGACTGACTCTTATCAAGTTGAAAATCAATATTAGCCATCACACAAAATTAATAAAATTTGCTGTGTAGACTGCCTGTGTAGACAGTGACACTATTCCTTTTTTTAATGATATCTCAAATACCAATGAGCCATGTTTGAAGACAAAGTACATAAAACATAGGAGTATGGACTTATTCCTTTCCCAGATGTAAGCAGCAAATTGCTAAGGATCTCCAGGGCAGGAATATGAACCCCATGTAGAGTAAGGCATCTTGGAGAACTCTGCTGACCCATGCTTTTACCTTATTAAATCAGAATCTTACCCAAGCCATCTCAGCAACTGAGCTATGATCTTCTTACCAAAGAGAAGAGGAGACAGAGAGATAGAGACAATATAAAGAGACAGAGAGGGAATGAGAAAGAGTGTGTGAGAGACAGACTCCCTAAGGACCCATTGAAATGAAACTTACAAAGTCAACAGAACTGTAAACATGGCTTTGTGTCAATTCTTAAGTGTGGCTCTCCCTCACAAGACTACACTATCCAAAAGTCCTTTCTTTCTAATAATATCTGTGCTAAATCCATGATAAACATCTCTTTTAAGCCAGGTGTGGTCATATGAGGCAGAGGCAGGTGGATGTCTGTGAGTTCCAGGTCTAGCCTATCTACTACATAGTGAGTTCGAGGTCAGACAGGGTTAGAACATGAGACTGTGTCTCTCCAAATGATCTTGTTATCAAAGAGGAGAGACAGAAGCAGAGAGACTGAGAGACGGGGGGGGGGGGGGGAGAGAAAGAGAGAGAGAGAGAGAGAGAGAGAGAGAGAGACTGACTCCCTAAGGACCTACTGAAATGGAATTTACAAAATCAACAGAACTGTATACATGGCTTTGTGTCAATTCTTAAGTGTGGCTCTCCCTCACAAGACCACATTATCCAAAAGATCACTCCAAAAAATCTTCTTAATAAACATCAGGACTAAGAAAGTGGGTTAAGAGATAAAGTACTCATCTTGCAACTATCCCTTTACTTCTGCATTATAAAGTCAGTTGCAACAGTGCATGCCTATAGTCCAATGCTTTTAAGGCAAGATAAAAGGCAGGCAGCTACCTATGACTCTATGTGTATAGAAATTAAATAAACACAGATTTCACGACTTTCAACTCAAAGTGACCCTTAAACTGTTGTTTCTGACCCTCTAGCTACTGATATTTCTCTAAGAGAGGCTCACATTCTGGAACTCTCTCTGCAAAGGGAGGTGATCTCCTGCAGATCCCACTATAGCTCTGCAGCCTTCATGGTCCCTTGTGTTTTCAGGCAAACCCAGCCCCAATGATGCCCACACAGAAAACACTGTAGAAGAATAATTTAATGTCTGATTCCAACCACATAATGTCACAAGATGTGGCATCTGCCCTATCCACCTGCCCAAAACCATGCAAACTGAGATACCTCTGCAGATCAGAAATTCCTTTTGTCCCCTGGAACTGACCTTCACTGAATCACACCATAGTGGCTGGCAGTAACAGAAAGCTAAAAGCATTCTAATCATGTATTGCTGAAGGATGATCCCCATCACTCCCTTTCTACCATTTTCTAAACTGTCTGTAACATTTACAAGACAAACACGAAAGGGAAATGTAACGTCTAGAACTTGTAGAAACCAGACCTTCAGTTTTCCAATCTGTCTTCCCAGATTCCCACTGTCACAGAAGCAAAGCCTATGTGTACACACTGGACAGTAATATAACAAGCATCATAACCTCCCACGCCAGGGTGGCAGAGCCTTCGCATCCCCAGGGAATACACACTCCCTGGATCAGTAAGGCTCAGAAGCCAAGGGCCACTGCTCAGGTTACTACAGGGACCAACAGAAACACACTCTGGCTCATGGTCTATCCCAGTCCCAGCAGTTCAGACTCTGACAGCTCAGCCAACCTGCTCTTCCTGGACAGTGACCCCCCACACTGACCATGGCATAGCTATGGCACTCCTTAGAGCTTCCTATAGCAGAAGCAGAGGAGAATCCCAAAGAGAACTTGGAAATTACCTCCCACTGGTGATACTGATGACTAAGTCTCCCAAAGCTCCTCATTAGTTAGGACCACCCAGTTGGACCTCAGGACATTAGCAGCTACCCTACTGGGTGAGCAGAGAACCAATGACTCAAACAGCACAAGCCTTCCCAGGTCTGCCCTTCCACACTAGGGTTGGACAGGTATCTAGTCTGAGAAACTTGTAATTTA